CCTGTCCTGGCACCCAAGCCCCCACAGCCATACCCCTCGGTGGATCGACCTGGTGTCCCCCCATGCCTCTTGGCACCTGACTGTCACCAGCTGAGGGGCAGTCAGGAGCAGCCACGGCCCCAAGCCCGACCTGACAAGTGGGCTGTGACGGCACGGCTGGCAGCCTGCTGGCGTGGGAAAACCCCACTGCTGCTCGCTCGGGTGGGGACTGGCCCAGATTCTGCCCCAGGGTGTATTTGGCCAGAGCTGCCCTGGAGAGGAGTGCGTGCCCTGGGCTGCAGCGAGCTGTCCTGGGGGACGAGGGGACAGCCTGTCCCATCCCTCCCAGCTCCCTGCCATGGGGAGAGGATCTGGCCCCAGGCTGGGGGTGTGTGGGGAGGCAGGTTTGCTGAGCCCCTGGAAGGTCCTGGAGAGTTTCCTCCTCTGCTGATGTGCTGCTTTCGCTTTCATGCGCCGGGTGCTGGGCCAAGCAGTCCCTGTCCCCGTGCCCATCACTGTCCCCGTATCGGCACGCAGGCCCCATCCCACACATCCCCATGGACAGGTAGGAGGGGACCAGGAAGAGCTGGGAGGGGGGGGAAGAGGGGGGGCTGGACTGGGACCTCCACCATTGCCCCAGCCTTGGCGTGGGTAAGGGCAGCTTTGGGAGTGGGAGGGAAAACGCCTGCAGCCCCAGCTTGTGTGGGGCTGAGCGCTGCCAAACTCATCACGGCAATGGTCGTGTGTATGGGGGGGCTTTTGAGATCCGCAGGGGGTGACACTGGTGGTGGGGGCTGCTGGTCTGGCTGCCGTGTTGGGGCAGTGGGATGTGGGTGTGAGCCAGCAGCGGGGTTTGGGAGGTGGGCAGGAGTGGGCAGCTGGGGTGAGTGGTTCTCCGTGGGCTGCTGGAGTGGGGTGAGGGCAGGAGAGTGCTCGGGCACCCTGCAAGGCTGCTCTGCTGTGGTTTCTTGCTTATCCTCCCACTGCATGCGCCATTCCATCCATCCATCCACCCATCCACCCATCCATCCACCCACCCACTCACCCATCCACCCATGCATGCATCCATCCATCCACCCACCCACCCACCCCTTGCCCAGCCACACATCTGTCTGTCCATCCCCCCCTCTTTCTCCCCACCTATCCCTCTGTCCATCCTTCCCTCCATCCACCCCCCCACACCCCCCACCATGGGCACAGCCACATCCACACTCGCCCACGCCTGCGCACGGGCACCCCAGCTCCCACCCAGATCTGCCTGCACATGCCTCTGCTTTTGCTCCCAGCTGCACGCCCAGCCTTGCACGCACGGGTGCGCACCCGGCCATGGGTGCACGCCCAGCTGCGCGCACACATGGGTGCACACCCGGCCACGGGTGCACACCCGGGTGCACACGCGCATGAGAGGTGCCCTGGGATGGCGGGGACGAGCAGGCAGGGAGGCACCCTGCCATCGCCCCGGGGGTCTCAGCGCTGGCAGCCCCGGAGGGGGGTGAGGGTCCCCTTGGGGCATGGGAGCGATGGCCAGGGTGGTGGGTGAGGTGCTGAGGCCTGGGAGCGGGGGGGGGGATGTGGGACACTGGGATGGGACAATGGGACATCCCCGAAGAGGCACCCACCCTGGGTGAAGGAGGACACGATGTCCCCAGTGCCATTGGGTCCCCAGAGATGGGCACGTGGCACTGGGTGCCACTTCAGGGCTGGCAAGGGGACACCCTCCCCTGTGTCCTATGGGGAGGACGCTGTCCTGGGGACGGGCCATGCGTGGGGGGGGGGGGGACGGTGTCAGCCCTGCCAGCCTGGCTGAGCCCCTTCCCCTCCCTCCCCACACAGAGTGCCAGCCCTCCCGGTCAAGAACCTGAACGGCACCGGCCCCGTCCATCCTGCCCTCGCAGGTAAGGGGGGGTCACCGCGGGGTGACATGGTGGGGCTGGGGGGCAGGAGGGGCAGGGCACAGGGCTGGGGCATGGCCAGGCGGTGGGAAGGATGGACGGACATTGGGTAGACAAAAGGACAGCACCTCTCCCCCGGCGCAGGGATGACGGGCATCCTGATGTGTGCCGCCGGGCTCCCCGTCTGCCTGACCCGCGCCCCCAAACCCATCCTGCACCCGCCGCCCGTCAGCAAGAGCGACATCAAACCCGTGCCCGGGGTCAACGGCATCTGCAGGAAAACCAAAAAGAAGCATCTCAAAAAGAGTAAGGAGCCACCAACGGTCCCGTGCGCCCTTGGCCGTGCCAGCCCCTGCCGGAGGGGAAACTGAGGCACGGGCGCTGCTCCTGCCCGCAGGGGTGGGACCCCCAAGGGGGTTTCCTGAGGGTTTCGGGGTCATGCCCACAGCTCCCCTGTGCTGGCACCCCCTCCTCCTCGTGCTGTCCCCACCCTGGTGGCAGGGCGCTGGGGGCACCGTGGGCAGGCTCTGATGGCATTCCCCCCCCCCCCCCCTCTGCCCACGGCAGGCAAGACCCCCGAGGACGTGGTGCGCCGCTACATCCAGAAAGTGAAAAGCCCCCCGGATGAGGTGAGTGGGCAACCCCGGGCACCGCGGCTCAGCCCGGGGCCACTGGAGGTTTGCGGGGCTCGGGCATGGGGACTGGCAGCCCCCCCACGACGGGCAGAGAGCCGGGGGGGACCTCCTCATCCCACCGTGAGCCTGTGCCCGGCAGGATTGCACCATCTGCATGGAGAGGCTGGTCACCTCCTCCGGCTACGAGGGCGTCCTCAGCCACAGGGGCATCAAGCCGGAGCTGGTGGGCAAACTGGGCAAGTGCGGGCACATGTACCACCTCCTCTGCCTCCTGGCCATGTACAACAACGGCAACAAGGTGAGCTGGGACCCTCCCCCCCCGCCCCCGCCGCAGGTGGGACCCCCTCCCTGCCATCACCCGTCCCCACGGGTGGGTGCTGCGGGGTGGGTGCCGCCCCTGATGCCCACCCGGGTGCCCACGCAGGATGGCAGCCTGCAGTGCCCCACCTGTAAGGCCATTTATGGGGAGAAGACGGGCACGCAGCCCCCTGGGAAGATGGAGTTTCACCTCATCCCCCACTCCCTCCCGGGTTACACTGACTCCAAAACCATCCGGATTGTCTACGACATCCCCACCGGCATCCAGGTGAGGAACCTGTGCCCACCACCCCGGGGAGCCCCCCCCCCGGGATGGGTGCCCCCCACCCTGTGCTACCCGCTCGCCCCATTGCCCCCCCACCCAGGGCCCAGAGCACCCCAATCCCGGCAAGAAGTTCACGGCACGTGGCTTCCCGCGGCACTGCTACCTGCCCGACAACGAGAAGGGCAGGAAGGTGAGTGTCCCTGATGGCACCGGGGTGGGGTGGGAAGAGAAGGGATCGGATAGAATGGGATGGGAAGTGAAGGGATAGAGTGGGAAAGAATGGGAGGGAATGGGGTGGAGTGGGATGAAAAGGGCTGGAATGGGGATAGGATGGAATAAAATGGTAAGGATGGCATAGAATGGGAAGGGATGGGATGGAATGGGAAAGGGTGTGATGGGATGGGATGGGGTGGGATGGAAAGAGAGTGGGTAGAATGGGATGGGAAAAGATAGGAAGGGATGGGGTGGGAAAGGATGGGGAGGGATGGGAAGTGATGAGATAGAATGGGAAGGGATGGGATGGGGTGGTAAGAAAAGGGCTGGAATGGGAAGGGATAGAGTGGGATAGAATGGGAAGGATGGGATAGAATGGGAAGGGATGGGATGGGAAGAGAAGGGATCAGATAGAATGGGATGGGATGGGATGGGATGGGATGGGATGGGATGGGATGGGATGGGAAGAGAAGAAATGGGGTGGGAACGAATGGGATGGGATGGGACCAGATGGGATGGGGTGGAAAGAGAATGGATAGAATGGGATGGAAAGAATGGATAGAATGGGATGGGAAGAGATGGGAATGGATAGGGTGGGAAAGGATGGGAAGGGATGGGAAGTGATGAGATTGAATGGGAAGAGATGGGATGAGGTGGAAAGAAAGGGGCTGAAATGGGAAGGGATAGGTTGGTATAGAATGGGAAGATTTGGGATGGAATGGGAAAGGATGGGATGGGAAGAGAAGGGATCGGATAGAATGGGATGGTGTGAGGTGAGGTGGGATGGGAAGAGAAGGGATTGGATAGAACGGGATGCATTGGGATGGGAAGTGAAGGAATGGGATGGGAAGAGAACAGATAAGATGGGACGAGATGGGAAAGGATGGGAAGGGATGGGAAGTAATGAGATAGAATGGGAAGGGATGGGGTGGTAAGAAAAGGGCTGGAATGGGAAGGGGTAGGGTGGGTTAGAATGGTAAGGATGGGATAGAATGGGAAGGGATGGGATGATGGGATGGGATGGGAAGGGTGCAGCAGTGCTGGGGTGGGGCTGAGGTGTGCCACAGGGAAGGGTGGCACCATGTGCCAAGGCTGAATCCTGCACCCTGGGGTGCTGGGGGTGGGAGGAGGGCCGGGGGGTGCCGGGTGGGCGAGCGATGGCCGTGCCCGCCCGCCGCAGGTGCTGAAGCTGCTGATCGTGGCCTGGGACCGGCGACTCATCTTCACCATCGGCACCTCCAACACCACTGGGGAGTCGGACACGGTGGTGTGGAACGAGATCCACCACAAGACCGAGTTCGGCTCCAACCTGACGGGCCACGGCTACCCCGACCCCAACTACCTGGACAACGTCCTGGCCGAACTGCTGGCCCAGGGTGTCTCCGAAGCCACCCTGAAGGACTGAGGCAAGGGTGAGGGGCTCCCCACGGCCCGCTTGCCCCCGCGAACTCACCCGTGCCACCACCGCCCGCGCCGCTTCGCTGCCGACGCCGCAGCCCTGCCGGGTGGGCTCGTCCCCTGTCCTGGGCCACCCAGTGCCCTGTGTCCCCCCGCCTTGTCCCAGTTCACCCCACTCCCGTGGCGATAGCATCGCGGGCTGGTGCTTTTCTTTTACCACCCGTGGCCTCTTTGTGTGTCAGCAGCCTGTGCCACCCGTGCCACCCGCCACCGCCCCACGGAGCCACATACAGCCGGTGCCATGTGTACATCTCTGTGTTACAGAATACACCCCATGCCGGGCCAGTGTCCGTCCCCCCCCACCGTGTCCCCTCCATGTCCCCACGTGGGTCCCTGCACCTCTCGCCTTCCTGGGGTGCTGGGTGACATCGCCGCAGGATCGGTCCCCCAGTGGAGTGTCGCTGAGGGTGGGTGTCAGTCATTCCCTGCAAGGATGCTCGGCTGGTGGGGGGCAGGGGGGGGGGCTTGGGGCACCTCCCGTGGACAGAGGAGTGGGTGTGCGTGTGTGTTTGAACACGCGTGCGCTGGGGGGGGAGGGGGGGAGGGCAGCCCCGCTGTCTCCGCACACGGGCATCCCCCGCTGGACACGGGCCCCGGGTGGGATGGGCGCCCCACCGAGAGGGGGGAGGCGGGAGGCAACGAGTGGGGACTACAGCTCCCAGCAGGCCCCGCGGCGCGGGCAGGCCGCGCTGGTCACAGGGAGTGCGGGGCATGCTGGGGGTTGTAGTCCTCGTTGCCGCCGGTCAAGTGGCGGCCGCAGGGCCCTGGTGCGGGGCTCGGGGCCGCGGGGGGGCCCGGGGCCGTGGGGAGGCTCGGGGCCGTGGGGGGGCTCGGGGGCGGCCCCGGGGCTCCATCCCGGCTGGCAAAGGCGTCGTGGGCGATGTCCAGGTCCCGCAGCACCGCCTGCAGCCGCCTCCTGTGGGGTTCACCTGCGCCCCCCGGCAGGGTCAGCGCCGCGCCCGGCACCCACCCGCGACATCCATCCTCGGCACCCACTCGTGGTACACCCCCGGCACCCATCCGGGGTACGCCCTCGTCACTCACGCCCAACACCGCCCTCCAGCACCCACCTCCAGCATCTATCCCCGGCAACCACCCGCGGCACCCCCCCACGGACCACCCCCCCCATTCCACTATGTCCCACCCTGGTCCCCCGTGTCACTCCAGCATGTCCCACCGCCCCTCACCCGTCCCCCCACGTCCCATCCTATGCCCCATTCCCCTCCCCCCCCCACCCGCCAATGCTCCACGGACACGGACGGACACTGCTTGGGGAGAGGTGTGTGCGTGGGGAGTGTGGATGGGGTGTGGGGCGGGGTGTGTGTGAGGACTTGGGTGTGTTTAAGGGGGAGGGGGGGGAGTGAGGTGTGGGTGTGCAGGGTTGTGCCTGAAGCTCGGCGTGAGGGTGGGCGCACCCGCGTGGCCGTGGCCGCATGCATTTGCTGTCCCCTGGTGGAGGGGCCCGGAGGAGCGCTGCCCGCGGGTGGGGGGGCCGTGCGTGGGGCTGTGCACGTGTGGGTGTGCGTCCGCACGGCCGTCTGCCAGCTGCCCCACGCATCACCCACCCACGCAGCGGCGCTGCCCGTACCTGCCTGCCCCGAGGGGGGGTCGCTCCCCACGCCGCCCACGGGACCCTCAGTCCCCGCCGCCCTGTGGGAGAGGGACCCTCAGCACGCTCCCACCCCCCTCCTTGGGCACCCAGGGTCCCTCGGGACCCCCCCACCGTGGGCCATCCCCCCCCCCAGCCCCTCTCAACCTCACCACAGCCGGGCCCCCGCCCGCCGGAGGTGCCCGTAGAGGGTCTGCGCCGCTGCCGCGGGGTCCAGGGGGTCGTTCCACTCGCCCAGCGCCACGGTGCCGTGGGTCCGGCTGCACCCGGGCGCTGCCAACGACAGCCACGGTGGGGGGACCCCCGCGCCCTGCCCCTGCTCGGGGGTAACCCACCCCCAACCCACCCCGGGCTGCCCTTACCGGTGCAGGTGGGCTGCAGGCAGCAGGTCCAGCGGCCGGCGCGGAAGGCGCCCGGGTGGCAAGTGGGCAGCATGGCCTCGTTGGTGCTGCTGGCCTGTCGCAGCACCCAGAGCCACTGCCACAGCTCCTGGGCGCTCTGCGGGGATGGGGAGGGAGGGTGGCACCCCGGCGGGCACCCACGGGGGCACCCTGCTCTGGGCACTGCCGGCGGGGAGGAGGAAGAGGGTGGAGAGGGTAGAGGTGGGCATGGGTGATGCCGACGGGGTCCCCCAGCTGGGGTGGGCACGAGGGTGAGGTGACCGGGAGTGACAATTTGATGGCAAAGCTGTCCAGGTGGGAGCTGGTGGGGAGATGGCACTGCGGGAGCCAGGGTACCCCAGTGGCCCCAGAACAGATATGGCTGGATACCCCGCTGATCCCAGTACAGCCACAGCTAGTACCTCAGTGATTCCACTACAGCCAGAGTAGGATACCCCAATTTTCCCAGTACAGCCAGGGCCCAGACAACCTCTTGACCCCAGTACAACCAGGGCTGGGCACCCCAGAGTCCCCAGTACCGCCAGTGCCTGGGTATAGCTGGATTTGGGACCAGGACCAGGACTGTTGTCCCCATGGGACTCAGGGGTACCCCGTGGCTGGGTGTGGAGAAGGGGGGCTCCTGGGGCGGGGGGTTTCCCGGGGGTCCCGGGGCAGGGCACCCACCTTGCACTGGATGTAAGTGGTGTGGAGCTGCCCGGCGTCATCCTGCGCCACGATCTGCATGACGTGGGGGTGCTGGAAGGTGCCCTCGTCCACCCGCTCCACCGCCCGGATCCGCGGCACGGGGATGGAGCAGCGCACCTGGGGACCCCCAAACACTGCGTCTCACTGCACCCACATCCCCCCCCACCTCCAAACCACCCGACACAGGGTGGGGGGGGTCACGGGCAGCACCCACCTGCCACTCAGGGGACTTGGAGTAGGTCAGGGCCTCGGTGCTGAGCCAGAAGTATCGCTTCTTGAAGGCGAAGCGGGGCAGCAGGACGGGCCCCCCCGCCGTGCGGGTGTGCAGGTACCCCTCCTTGATGGTGGCCGAGGGGTGGAAAAGCACCCGTGGCACCGGCCCTTCGCCTGCTGTGACTGTGGCGTGGCCGGGCAGGGAGGCAGTGGCGTCACCCCGAGTGCCACCGCCTCCCCCAGCCCGAGGATCCCCATCCCCGGCCATCCTGGCAGCATCCGCACGGCGCCGAGCGGGTCCCCCTCTCCGGGGATGCTCCCAGGATGCGGGGGACAGCAGGGACGATGCCACCCCCTCCATTCTGAGTGGTGGCACGGCCGGGCCCAGTACCAGCGGTGCCCGGCCCCCCCCCCCCCCCCCCCCCGTGCCCCTGCAGTGCCACCCGCTCACCCTCAGTGCTCTCCACTGTGACCAGGCTGTCCAAAAAGGCTTTGACACGGGTGACACTGGGCTGCAGAACGGCGTGCAGCGGGGCCATCCACGGCTCCTTGCCCTGCCCCAGCTGCAGCCCCAGGTTCCCGATGCTCTGCAGCGCCTGCCCCACGCAGGGAAGGGCTCACGCTGCTGTATCCCCCGGTGACGTGGGGGCTGGGGGGGTGTGGGGGGGGTAGGGGGGAAGGCTGCTCCCCCGAACCCCTCTAGATACTCCCCTGCACCTCAGGGGCTTGGGAATTGGGGATGAAAGTGGAAAAGCAGAGCAATGCAGGGAGCTGTGCCCAATGCGTGATGGCACGGCCCGGTGACGGGTCTCGAGTGGTGTGGGAAGGAGCCAGCCCGTGGCATGTGGCATGGGGGCACAAACAGCCCTGGGGCCATTGTCCTTTCCCATGTTCCCCATCCCTCCCTTGGATCCCCAGCCCTCCCCTGGCTCCCCACCCCTCCTCAGGGTCTCCCTGCCTTTCTGGGGTCCCCACCCCTCCCTGGCATCCCTTCTGGGTCCCCATTTTTCCACAAGGTCCTCATCTTTCCCTGAAATCTCTGTCCTTTCTGAGGTCCCTCTCTGGAGTCCCCATCCCTCCCTGGACTCCCCAGCCCTCCTTGAGACCCCTGTCCCTCCCCAGGGTCCCTACCCTTCCCCAGGTTCCCCATCTCTCCCAGTGGTTCCCAACCTGCCCTGGTGTACTCATCCCTCTCTGGGATCCCTGTCCCTCCCCAAGTCCCCATCTCTCCCAGTGTCCCCATCCCTCCCCAGGCTCCCTGCACCTTGGCGAGCAGCAGGAGCGTGCGGCTGGTGCGGGCGTCAGCGTGCTGCTCCCGGAGACTGAAGAGTTTTGGGGTGAGGACGGCGGGGGCGAAGAAGCGGAGGAAGAGAAACCCACTGATGGAGAAGTATCGCACCTCCTGGCCAGGGACGAGGATGGGGACAGCTCAGGGCTCGGGGTGGTGGTCCCGGAGGCCTGCAGACCCCCAGTCCCAGCCCCGCCGCGTGCCCCACCTCATGCTGCGCTGAGGGGAACCGCTCCTCCACCCGTCCGCGGAGCTGCTTGAAGGCCACCCTCATGATGAGGGGACACTTCTCCACTGAGCCCACGATGGCATCAACGATGTCCCCCAGGTAGCCCTTCAGCAGCTCCAGGCTGCTGTCCCGCACCCGTGCCTCCGACAGAGACCCCTTGAAGGAGATCCTCCTGTGGGGATGCCACCAGATCAGGGGGCACCCAATGCCCAGGAACGGGCCACCCCAAGAGGGCCAAAAGCCATCGAGGTGACCCACGGGCTCAGCAGCAATGGGTGACCCCTCCCACAAGAGACACTGGGTTGGGGATGACTTGGGATGTGCCAGGTGGCACGTCCCCCCAAGCCATCCCCCTGCACTTGCCTGCTGCGGCTCAGCTCCATCTTGCCGGGGTCCAGCTCCACGTACTTCTTCTCCTCAAAGATGCGGTTCACCACAGGCTTCAGGACCTCGTGCAGGTAGGGCAGCCCCACCACCTGCAAGGGATGGGAAGTCACCATCGTTGTTCCCAGACCGTTCCCAGATGCCCTGCTGGGACAGAACCCGGCTCTGTGCCCTGATGCCGTCATGGGAGGGCACAGTGGGGACCTGGCTAGGGTCCCCTCCCACGCTCACCTTCATGAATTGCTCCACAGACTTGGAGGCTAGCGAGTTGGAGCGGAAAAGGGTGTTGGGGTCCGCTGGAAGAGCACAGAGGATGTGTTGAGGTGGGCACGGGGCAATGACCCAGCCATCCCTGGTGTGCCCAACCCCGGGGACAAGTGGCACCTTGGTGGCTCCACTCTTCTCCCCGTGGGGACCCTGTCAACCCAGTTTCCTGGCTGGGGGCGTGCAGGTGATGCCCCCAGTGCTGGCACTTACTGGTCCTGGCCAGCTCACGGGTGGTGAGATAGTCCAGGAGGGGCACGGCCAGCCCCTGCCTCAAGAAGATCTTCACCAGCTTGGTGGCCACGTCCTGCCGGCTCTCCCCGGAGGTCACCTCCTCCAGGACAGCCAGGGCCGTGCTGCTGGGGGGCTGTGGGGAGGGCGGGGTGGGTACGGCAAGCCCCTCGCATCAGGATGGTCCTCGGCCACCCCCTGAAGGTCCCCACATCCCGTAGCACCCACCTGGCCCGGGCAGAGGATGGGCTCGGTGAGGAGCTGGATGAGGGGCTGGTAGTAGGGGGCAGGCAGGACCGTGTCCTCCACCAGCCGCACCGCCAGCCGCAGGGCACCCAGCTGCTCCCTGCAAAGACACGGATCCTGCACCCCCTGCCCTCCATCACCACCCCGGCTCCTTTCCTGGCCGGGATGGGGGGGGACACACACTCCCCCGTCCCTGTGCTGCCCCAGGCATAGCCGCCCTGGGGAGCTGCTCGGGCAGGGTGCAGGCAGCTGCCTGGCCTCGCTGCCTGCACCCACCCGTGGTCCTCAGTGGTGCTGGGGAAGGGCAGGAGCTGGAACCAGCCCTTGGTGGGCTCCGTGCAGATGGTGTCCAGGGGGAACTCGACCTGGGTGGGGTGGGGGGGTGGAGGTAGGGTCTGAGTTGAGGAGGAGGGTGGCAGGTGCCAGCACCCTGTGCTGCACCTCGTTTCCCCCCGCCAGCGGAGACCCCTCCTTGGGGAAAGAGCCCAGGACACGCAGGGGGGTCTGGATGTGGCACTGCCCCCCGCTCAGCGGGTCCACGCACCCCATCCCTGCGGGTCCTGACTCGTGATCGTCCAGACCTCGAGCACGGGGAGTGGCTGGAGATGTGGATGTGCCCTAGGACCCTGCCCCATGCCAGTGTGCCCCAAGGTCCTCACCCGTCCCAAGAAGTCGTTCTTGCCCACAATGTCCCAGTCCCACACCTCCACGCTCAGCACAGCCTCCCTTAGCTCGCCCTCTGCCAGCTTGAACTCCAGCACCTTGTCCCAGTGTGGGAAACGGGTTTTCTTAATCACCTGCTGGGGACAGGGACCGGTGACTGGGGGACAAGATGCCTGAGCCTCCAGGTCCCAGCACCCAGCACCCTGACTCACAGCTGTCTCCAACGTGTGCCCGCAGCATGACACCCGGGCAAAGGGGTCTGATGTGCCTGAGAGGTCCCGGGGGGCCAGGTCCCTGTGGGGAGGTGGGGGTCAGCGAGGGCGCAGCAGACAGGGGACCCATCCCTGCCAGGAGGGTCCCCTGTAACCCCATGTCCCCACTTTCCCCCCACTCTCCTGGGCACACTGGGCACCCGTGGGGCGGCCAGCAGGTGCGGGGGGGATGCTGGTGAGAGCGAGTCCCCATTCCCCAGTGCTCCTGCCTTGAAGCTCTTCCTCCTCCAGTCCTTGGGGACCAAACTGCACAGCGGGGGGGCTCTGCTGTCCCTCCTGGCTGTCCCCATAGCCATCCCGTTGCCTTGGTACCCGCTTCGGTTGCCATGGCAGCGGGATGCTGCCTCTGCTGCCTGCTCCGCTGCCAGCAGCCTGCCGTCTGGCAGCCGCGCGTGTGGGCACACGCACACACACGCACACACCCCAGGGCGTACCTCAGTTTCCCCCAGTTTTGAAGCCAAAGAGGAGAAACCCGGTGCGAGAGCCAGCTGGTCTGGTGGGGACCGTCCCCAGGTACCCCATGGCCCTCCGGGCCACCCAGCTCTGTCCTCTGTTCCCCTGTCCCCATCCTTGAGCAGGGATGGCAGTGTCAGAGGCACTTCATTCCCCTTTGAGACTGCACAACATCGTGGCCTGCCGGTTGGCATCATCAGTGTCCCCAACCAGGACACAGAGAGGGCCCTTCTCAGTGCCAAGAGGGGACGATGAGTCCCATGCCACCACTATCCCCATCACATCTCCTCCTCCCACTGTCCAGACCCCACCAGCCAAAAATAAGTCTCCGGGGGTGGTTGAACCCCCATTGTGTACCTGGCCTCGATGAGGTGGCAGCGCAGCACCCGTGGGTGGCCCTGCTTGGGGACCTGCAGCTCCAGGTGGATCTCGCCCTGCACCTCCTCGTCGGGGTCCACGGGTGCCAGGCTGAGCCAGCTGTCAACACCTGCCGAGGGGGACGGGGTGGGCACCCCATGGTGCGGGGATGGGCCCCACTGCCCCCCCACCTCACCCCCCTGCCGTGCCCCCCCACTCACCCCGCGGCTCAGCCGAGATCTGCTGGCGGCTGAGCGAGACCTTGCCGATAACGTCGTCCTGCCTGCGAGGGCAGAGACACGACGGGCGCTGAGGCCACTGGTGGGGACATGTCACCCCTCGGGGGGAGCTCCCCGGTGCCCACCCGTGCCCCCGCTGTCCCCCCTACCCAATGGTGTCTTCATCCAGCACATAGACAGTGAGGTTGTGGAAGCCACGGGGCAGGCGCAGGGTGTATTCCTCACCCCAAAAAGGGTTCAGGCTCTTCCACACTGTGGCCGTCCTGCCGGTGATGGGAGAGGTGGCTGCACCCCCAGGGAGAGCACCCGTCCCTGCGTGTCCCCTCCCCGCGGTGGCACGGTGTCCCCCCTACCTGGCCACCACCTCGTTGTCCACCTTGACCACGCAGTAGGGATCGCTGGAGCCAGACCTGGGCAGGGGGATGTGGGTGCAAGGTCAGCCCCCCACCTGGGGGTCCCACCCGTCCTCGGGGGCTGCTGCTGGGGGGGGGCTCAGGGGGGGCTGGATCTAAGCATCGCTTCAAACCCCGCCAGCGAAGCACGAGCCTCAGCGGGTGAGATGAGTTGCCTGGGCTCAGCCCAGACCCGCAGATGACACCAGGATGGGGACAACACCTTTTCCTGGCGCTCCTTGAGCTGGGGGACCCACTGTGGGCCACCCCGAGCCATCGCCCTGCGTCCCCCCACCCGTGGGTACCGGGTACGGGTATCTCTCCAGCAGCAGCAGAACTGGAGTTTCCGTGGCAACCCAAGTGTCAGGGTGACACCAGGCTGGCCCAGGGCCCTTCCTGGGCTTAACCCCTTCCGCGTGGGAGGATGGGATGGGGGGGACAAGGGCTGGATCCAGGGCTCTCCCACCAAAGCCCCTTCCCCGCTTATTTACGGCAGCTGGACCTACACCGAGGGATGCCAGCCCCGGGGTGGCGTGCCCGGGGCGATGCTGGAACCCCAAATCCCCAGCTGCTGGAGGCAGGAGATGCCAGGAGGCACCTCAACAAGGAACCAGACCCCGAGTGGGTTGAGGGAGATGACCCCAGCCTCCTTGCTGGGGGGACGGGAAGGTCCCAGCTGCAGCTGTGTGCTCAGCAGGTGATGTTGCGTGCTGGCTAACGAGCGGCTTTGTTAATCCCCAGGGGTATCTCAGAGTCTCCCCGCAGAGCAAAGTCCACGGCCTGGCCGGCTGGTCTGGCAGGGACGGGCAGGCAAACCTTGGCACCGCGTGTGGGGTTGGCAGCTCCCAACCCCCTCGAGAACCAGGAGGAGAGAGGGTCACCCCGAGCCCCTCCGCAGCCCTGGGACACCCCTAAGCTTGGGTTTGGGGGGCTGGGAGCGGCACTGGGCACCTCATGCTTGAGCTGGTGGGTCGGGATTGCCCTGCTGTGCCCAGACCCCCCCCGGAGCGGGGCACCCAGCACAGCACCATGAGCCCCGCTGGGTGGGGAAACTGAGGCAGGGAGGCCCCACTGCCCGTAGGCGTCCCTGGCTGCCCAGCCCTGGGAGCGGCCGGCGGTGCCAGGCTGGCACGTCCGGAGGAGCCCAGGGCTGCCAGCTCCGCCGAGGCATATCTGTGGGGCAGGAGCAGGCAGGGGGTCCCCCTGCCCACCCCCCCTTCACCCCCCCCCCCGAAGGGTGCTGATGCCCAGAAGGTACATGAGGGTGCGGGGGGGAGGATGTTTCCCCTCAGTGCTACCTGCAGCCTTGGGGGGGTTACCCTGTGCCCACCCTGCTGGGGGGCAGCAAAGGGATGCTCAGGGGTTTGAGGGGCTCGTACACCTCTGGCGGGGAGGTGGCTGAGAGTCCCCTGCCACCCCCAGATCCCTCCTTCGGCGCAATGGGTCCCTGCTGGCATGGGTGCAAGCAGGGACCTCTAAAACTGCAGGGAGAGCAGAGCACCCAGCACTCCCAGCCACCCCCCCCGCCCCCCCCCCCCCCCATATCCCAGGGTGGGAGCCCAGAGAAAATTGAGGGGCCGAGGGCCCCCCCAAGCCACTCACACGTCCTTGGCGGGCAGGTCCTTCCCCTCCACCACCCGGCAGTGCAGTGAGGTGGTTTTGGCCATGCCGGCGAACTTCGGGGCGGGCGTCTAGGAGTCCATGGGGTGCCACGATGGGTGCTCCTGGGGTGTCCTGAGCTCCCCCCACCCCCCCGCCAGTGGGGCTGCCAGCACCAGCCTCCTCCTCCTCCTCGACCTCTTCTTGCTGTCGCTTCTTCCTTTTTCCTCTTCTCGGTTGTTTTTCTCGCTGCTTCACTCCCCACCTGCGCTGGAGCAGCGGACGAGAGCAAGCGAGCCGGAGCGCGCGGGCACGCTGCGACGGGCGAGCTGGGGTGGGCTGGCGAGCTGGGGTGGGCTGGCCTCATGCCCACCGGCCCAGCGGACGAGTGGCATATGCCAGTAGCCACAGGTTGCCACAAACCAGGAACTCACCGTGGGGATCCCCCCTGCGTACCAGCAACTGCTGGTGTGGGCAAAGCCCACTTTGTTCTAGCGATGGGGAAACTGAGGCACGGAACTATCTCAGAGCACTGGTCCCTTGCAGGGGGAGGGGGGAAGCTTCTGTCCCATCACAGCTGAGCGGCACAGGGGATTGTCCCCAGGCTGGGGGGCTCTGCCTGTACCCCAAAGTGGCAGTGGGTGCTGTAGGGAGCCTGGGGTGAGCATCGGCCTCGGGGTGGGGATACAGCGGAGGAAGCAACCTGCTTTGGGGGGCTGCTGGCACAGTGTTCCCCAAGACACCTACGGGACCTTACCCCCCACCCTGGGTGCCCCCTGCCCTCACAGGGGATGTGCTGAGCCAGACTGGGGAGATTCCAGCAGATCCCAGAGTGTCTGCAGCACCATAATGCTCCCCAAATCCCCATGTTTTGGCTTCTCTGCACTGGGGACCCCAAGGAGGGGGGGGGGGGTTGGAGGGGGACAAGCCCTGGGGGGGTGTGAGGTCCCCCGTGTCCCCACTGTCCCGTTGGTGTGTGGCCCCCCCGCAGCCAGGCGTAGCAAGGAGCATTGGTGGGGCTGGAGGGATGGCAGATTCGGGGGGGGGGGGGGGGGTGCGGGGGTGGGCTGGCCAGATGTCTCCTGCAGTGACTCACAGTAGGTACTGCCAGAGCAAGCGTCACTGAGTGGGTGCTGGGTCCTTGGGGTGCCGCTGCTGGGGGGGGGGGGTCACTGTGTGGGTGCAGGGTCCTTGGGCTGCTGCTGCTGGGGGGTGTCACCGTGTGGGTGTGGGGTCCTTGGGGGGGTCACTACCAGGGGGGTGTCACCGTGTGGGTGCTGAGTTCTTGGGGTGCTGCTGCTGGGGGGTGTCACCGTGCAGGTGCTGGGTCCTTGGGGTGCCACTGCCAGGTCCTTGGGGGGATGTCACCATGGGGGTGCTGAGTTTTGGGGGTGCTGCTGCTTGGGGGTGTCACTGTGTGGGTGCTGGGTCCCTGTGGGGACACTGCCAGGGGGGTGTCATCTTGTGGGTGCTGAGTTCTTGGGGTGCCGCTGCTGAGGGGTGTCACCATGGGGGGTGCTGGGTCCGGGGGAGGGGTCACTGCCAGGGGGTTGTCACCGCGTGGGTGCTGGGGGTGCCATTGATGGGGGGGGGGGTGTCACCGTGTGGGTGCCGGGTCCTCGGGTGCCTGCGCTGGGCTGAGAAGGGAGGGGCTGCGGGTGCTGCAGGCAGGGTGCCCCCCCTCCCACCGGCCCCACCGCATCGGGGGTGAGGGGGGGGAACACGGGAGGGGGACCGAGCTGTCCCCGGAGGGGAGGCTGTGGCACGGCTCAGCGCTTTGTTTGCCGTCCGACCTGTTCCCCGGGTGCCCTGTGCCCGCACCCCACCCCCGGGCTTGGGCAGCGGCAGAGCCCCGGGCCGGGGGGAGCCGGGGGGAGCCCCCCGGGGTCGGGGGGAAGATGAGGCGTTGCCTCCGCTCCTCTTGCCCGGGGTTGGGGGGGGTGTGTGTGTGTCCGCGCTCTCCGACCTTCGCCACCCCTCCTTGTCCCCATCCCCATCCCCGGGGGGGCAGCCGCCATCCACGGGGAGCCCCCGGCGAGGGGACAGTGGCGGCGGGGGTCCCTCCCCTCACCCCGGAGGAGGAGGAGGAGGGAGGAGGAGGAGGAGGAGAAGGAGGGAGGGGGAGGGAGGGGGAGGGAGAGGGAGGAGGAGGAGGGAGGAGGAGGAGGAGGAGGAGGGGGGTGGAGGAGGAGGAGGGAGGTGGAGGAGGAGGGAGGTGGAGGAGGAGGAAGGAGGAGAAGGAGGAGGAGAAGGAGGAGGAGGAGGAAGGAGGAGGAGGAGGAGGAGGAGGGAGGAGGAGGGAGGGGGAGGAGGAGGAGGAGGAGGAGGAGGAGGGAGGAGGAAGAGGAGGAGGAGGGAGGAGGAGGAGGAGGAGGGAGGAGGAGGAGGAGGAGGAGGAGGGAGGAGGAGGAGGGAGGAGGGAGGAGGGAGGAGGGAGGAGGAGGAGGAGGAGGGAGGAAGGAAGGAGGGAGGAGGGAGAGGGAGGAGGAGGAGCTATCGCCACCCTGTGCCGGGGCCTGGGCCCGCGGAGGCCGCGCCCGGCCCGGCGGAGCTTTGCCGTGGCCGGGCGGGCCGCGGAGCCGCCATGAAGGCGAGCGGAGGTGAGGCGGGGGCCGGGGGTACCCCCCGTCCCCACGGGGCGGGGGGGGGGGGGCAGCCCGGGCCGAAGGGGGGTGGGTGGGTGGGTGGGTGGGTGGGTAACGTGGCCGTCCCGCCGCCCAGAGGAGCCGGTCCTGCTGGCGGAGCTGAAGCCGGGCCGTCCCCAGCGCTACGACTGGAAATCCAGCTGCGAGACCTGGAGCGTCGCCTTCTCCCCCGACGGCGCCTGGTTTGCCTGGTCGCAGGGGCACTGCGTGGTCAAGCTGATCCCCTGGCCCCTGGGGGAGGCCGAGCTGTGAGTTTTGGGGCGGCTGGCTGGGGAAGGGGGGGGTGGGGGTGCGCGGAGCCGGGGGCTGCCCCCCCCCCCGGGGCAGCGGGAGTCAACCTCCATCCCTCCTCCTTTCTCCCAGCAGCTGCAAAGCCTCGGAGCGCAAGAGCCGCGGCGGCAAAGCGGAGGCGAGGAGCCGAGGGGCGGCCAAGGAGAAGACGCTGGAGTGCGGCCAGATCGTGTGGGGCCTGGCTTTCAGCGCCTGGCCGGCGGCAGAGGAGGGTGAGACGGACCCTGGCTGCGCCGGGGGTCTTCCCTGCCTGATCCTGGCCACCGGGCTCAACGACGGGCAGATCAAGGTCTGGGAGGTGCAGACAGGTGAGCGGCCCTCGCTGGCAGCGGGAGCAGGCCGGTGCCTCTCCCCCCTGCTCCCCCTTGGAAGGGGATCCCGTCTCCATCCTTCCCCAAACGCTTCCCCGGGGCGAGCGGGAGCCCCTGCCTGGTCTCCAGCAGGGCTGCCTGCGCCTGAGGGGCACTGCCTCCTTCCCCGTGGAGGGACAAGAGCTGAGCATGGCTCTTCTCCACAGGACACCTCCTCTTCAGCCTCTTGGGGCACCAGGATGTTGTCAGAGACCTGAGCTTTGCTCCCAATGGAAGCCTCATCCTTGTGTCGGCCTCGCGGGACAAGACCTTGCGCGTCTGGGACCTGAGCAGGGATGGTAGGAGCGTGGGGGGACGTCCCTGGTGCTAGGTCACCCCTGGCTGAAGCTGGGCTCTGCTGCGGGAAAGGTGGGAGAAACCCACCTTGGTAGGGGAGGTGGTGGGAGAGGATCTTTGGGGACAGTATTCAAGGCAGAGGGCAGAGTCCTGCGACACGGAGCAGAGCCTTCGCCTTCCAGGTAGGGCCTGGGAAGTGCAGGGAGGGGTTGCAAGGAGACAGAGCTTGGGATCTGCCCGGGGAACCCCCCAGCCCCACGTGCATTCCCTTTCAGGAAAGGGAGGGGAGAGCAGGGGCAGCCCCCAGCGCTGCCTCTCGTGCTCCCCTCTCGTGACTCGCGTGTCGGCCGTCCCCAGGGCGGCAGGTCCAGGTGCTGTCGGGCCACGTGCAGTGGGTCTACTGCTGCTCCATCTCCCCAGACTGCAGCATGCTCTGCTCCGCGGCCGGAGAGAAGTCGGTGAGTCCTGCAGGATAGGAGCCATCCCGGGTCCTGCTGAATCCTGCGCTCCCCTCAGCCCTCCTTGTCCCCACTCTGTGAGAAGGGGCCAGGCCAGAGCCACCCGCACTCCTCGGCCGTTCTGGTTCTGCACGAAGGAGCTGGAACCAGAGCCCATGCGCCTTAAACCCCAAGGGGGGGAGATGCTTCTCCCCCGTTCCCACCCCAGGGGTGCTCCCAGCCTCAGCTCCTGCCCGTGTCCCGCAGGCGCTGCTGTGGAGCATGCGGTCCTACACCCTCATCCGGAGGCTGGAGGGGCACCAGAGCAGCGTGGTGTCGTGCGACTTCTCGCCGGACTCGGCGCTCCTCGTCACCGCCTCCTACGACGCCTGTGTCATCATGTGGGACCCCTACACCGGGGAGCAGCTGAGGACGCTGCGGTACAGACCCAGAGGGGCTGGTGGGGGACCGTGGAAAGGGGGACAGAGCAATGCCGTGGGGGTTTGTCAGGGCTGGACGTGGCCTTTGCTCCTAACTGGGCATGGCCATCACCTCTCCCCGGTCTCCCGTGGCTCAAGGGGGAGGCTTTGATCTGCTGGGTTTGGCCCTTCTGCCAGCCCCGGAGCGCTGGGGATGGGGCTCACGGCAGCCTGGGGCTGACGCTGGGCTTGTTCTCTCCTCCTGCAGCCACGTCCCCTTGCACTCGGTGGTGGACTACAGCAGCGAAGTCCACACCAGCTCCCTGCGCTCCATCTGCTTCTCTCCTGAGGGCCTCTACCTGGCCACGGTGGCGGATGACAGGTGAGTGAACCCCCTCGGGGACCTCCAGCGGGAAGAGGGTCCCAGGAGGACACCACCAAAACGAACCAGGAGCTCCAAACGTCCCAGTGGGGAGCCGACCTCCTGTGCCAGGTCCCCACCAATGCCTGGTGGGAAGGGGAAAGGGCAGGCTGCCTGGGGACACCGCGGCTCGCCTGTGGCAAGGGGTAGCAAGGTCAGGGCTCTGTTGCCCCTCGGGGTGACAAACCGGGGCCCGTGTCCTCCCCCGTGCCGTGCCGCCCTCGCTGCGCCCCTCAGCGCAGTCGCTAGCTCCGCCTGCATCCAGCTCAGCGCTACAGGGGACAGTGCCTCCCGCCTTGCTGCCGTGTTGTGACACTCCTGGGATGCTCTAAGCCCGCGGGAAGAAAATCCTGCTCCAGTTTGCATGCGTTCAGGTGAACCCAGAGGCTTTCTTTCAGCTGGAGGCACCGCGTGGATGTGGGCCTGGCATCGTGTCCCCTCCCTTTCTCCTTAGGCTCCTGAGGATCTGGGCGTTGGAGCTGCGGTCGCCGGTTGCGTTTGCTCCCATGACCAACGGCCTGTGCTGCATGTACTTTCCACACGGCGGTTTCATTGCCACAGGGTGCGTATGCGGGAGAAGAGAGCGGAGAAACACGTGGCTGCTCCCTCCTCCCGCAGCTCTGGGTCTGCTCAGCGAATTCCGGGCTTCCCTGGGGGATGCAGGCTGGTTTTCCGGGCTGGGGAACGCACGGTTGCTGCAAGCTCGGGATATTTGGGGGTTATGGAGCTTTCTCGAGTCTCTCTGCCTTGTCCTCACAGCTTGTTTGGGTCCCGTTGCAGGACCAGAGATGGCCACGTCCAGTTCTGGACTGCTCCAAGGGTCCTCTCGTCGCTAAAGCACTTGTGTCGCAAAGCTCTGCGCACCTTCCTGACGACATACCAGGTCCTGGCGCTCCCCATTCCCAGGAAGCTGAAGGAATTCCTCACTTACCGGACCTTTTAAGGCGGCGTGGAAAGCAGAGGCACGGAGGCGAGAGCCCTCTGCCTGGTGGTGGGGCTCGGCCTGGGTCAGAGGAGGCACCGCAGCAACGATGTCTCGCTGATTCGTGAGCTGTGGGGCAGGAGGATTGCTGCTCCCCTTGTTTTGGGGCTCCGTCTGTGAACGCGGAGGGATTTTTTGGTATAATAATACTAGGACCCAGCAAAAATGCATGCAGAGGGCAAGGGGCACGGCTGCGGTGGCTCCGCCGGGGACACGGGTCCCCCTGTCCCCCTGCTAGCTGCAAGTTTGGGGTCAGGTGCTTTTGCTTCCAAGTGCAATGTTGTGGGTTGAAGGGTAGCAGCCACAGCCTGAGCAGAGCTTTTGTTGTTCGTACGAATACAGGGGGGGGCTACAACTGTCCCCAACAAAACCGACCCTCACCGGAACCGGCTCGTACTGTAGCTTAGTTCCCGGAGGAGTGTGGTCTCTGCTGCTCTCCAGGTCTGGCCGTGAGCTGGACAAACCCGAGGTCTTTGCGGGCTAGACGACAGCGATGACAGAATAAAAAACGATTCCTCACCTCTTTCCTCTTGGCTTGTAGAGGTGATGTGGGGACACCTGGCAGGGCAGGCTCCAGCCCTCCTGCCGTGGCTGTCAGGGTGGCAGTGGGGGCTCACTCAGCTCTGAGGTGCAGCAGACCAGTAAGTGTTCAGCGGTGGGTGCCGGGGAGGAGCAGCCCACGGTGAAGGTGGGGTGTGGGGCTTCAACGCAGCCCCCCGGCTCCCATTGTTCTGTTGCTTTTTCTCCCCGCTGGAGCACTCGAGCAGCCTGATGGCCAGACACGCTGTGCACGAAGCAGTCTTGTGCGCTTGCCTCCCTCCAGCTTGGCTGGTGGCTGGAGTGACAGCGCGTGCTTTGAGTCCCCTGCAGGCCAGAGGGCTCGGTCTGCGCACGAGCCCACGGCTGTGACCCCAGATGATGGGAGAAGACGGGGAACGTCTCCTCTAAACTGCTCCCCGGGATGTTTTCCCTTGGGAGCAGCTTGCTGTGCACGGCTGCCCCGCTCAGCTGCACGAGCAGCAGGGTGGCACAAGCCAGGGCTGCACCGCTCGGCGCGTGAGCGGCTCTGCCCCTGCGAGGGGGGAGGTTTTGCAGGCAGGTGGGAGCAGCCAGAATTCAGCCTGTGCGGGTGCGACGCCTTTGCAATGGGGCGGGGGGATGAGCCTTGACCCCTTCCCTTCGGTCCTTGCTGCACAGGAAGGAAAAAGAAAAGACAAGTGCAACCTGCTGCGCTTTAGAGGAGTCTGTATTTCCTGGTGAAGCTTAGAAACAACGCTGCCCGATTCTCGTGACCCAGCTGTGGGTACAAGGCTTCCAAAAAGGAAGAGGAGAGCTGCAGGGAGCAGCTCCGGGCACGGGGCCGACGGTCCCTTCCAGCCGCGCCGAGATCCGGCAACGCAAGCGAACGTCCACGCGGCAGGACTCAGGCTTCGGCCACGATCAGGTCCCTGGTGACTTGGAAAGCTGCGATGAGGGAGCTCAGCTGAATCTTTTCACTGGTCCCAGCAGCCAGCCGGTACCTGGAGCGGGGGGCAAGGGCAGGTTCAGGTGTTTACACCACTGTCCACACCCCGACAAAGCGACAGCCCTGGCCAGGGTGGATGCGCAGGGGCTGCGGGTGTCTGCCAGGGCCCGCCATGGCCCGGTAGCGGTGACCCCCGTGGGGTGGGCGCGCTGGCAGCCCCCCAGGCCGGGGAGTTGTGGGGCGTCGGGCCGGGGTGAACGGACACTTACTCGATGTCTGCCATTTTGATCAGCAACTGGATGCGGATCGAGGGGGGGAAATCAACTGTGGAGAGAAGGAGGTGGCACGTGTTGGTGAGGGGGGGACACACCGTTGGCCCTCCCTGGGTCAGCAGGAGCCGCCCCCCGTGAGCCCCCCCCCCCCCCCCCACCTCTGTGCACAAACAGATGGATCTCGGTGAGGATGTCCTGCAGGGCCAAGCCCTTCAGCGTCTTCAGCTCCATGATTTCTGAGATGAGAGTGAGTGAAGGGCTTTCTTCCAGGCCTTTTCCTGCGAGATCCTGCTCCTCACCCCCACGACAACCCTGAGGACCCTCCCCAGCGAGCAGCACCCACCCCAGCCGGAGCAGGAGGCCACAGGATGGGAAGCCCCGGAAAAGGGGAGGATTTATAACAGCAGGAATTAAACCCCAGGGCCAGCGGAGGGAAAAGGATACTGCGATAGGCAGTGGAAAAGTCCTGGTTCAGCATCCAGTCGAGGATGTTGGCGATGTCAGACTTGAGGGGGTGTCCCGTGCAGGTGTAGACGTTCTCCTCCGTCACCTTCCCAAAGGCCATGGTGGTACTCTGAGGAAGAGAAGGGTGGAGGAAGGATGAAGAGCTCGGCCCTTCTTCCACCGCCCGCTCCAGGGCAGCTGCCTGCGTGGGGCCGACGTGGCCACGGTCTGTACCTGCAAGATATTGAGGGCTCTGCGCATGTCGCCGCTCGAGAGGGTCACCAGAGCCTTCATCCCGTCCTCGGTCACGTCCACCCTGGAAAACAAGACCTGGGGCTGCAGAGGGAGCCAGCGCTGCTGGAGGGAAATACAACCAGGGAAAACCAAGCCTGCTGCTCCTCCCGGTGTTAGGGAATGGGGAAAAAGGGGGTGCGGAGGATGCTGTGGAGCCCCCCCGGCTCACCCCTCCTCCTGTATGACATGCTGCAGCCGCGGCACCATCAGCTCCGGGGTGAGGGGGCCGAAGCGGAAGCGCGTGCAGCGGGACTGCAGGGCGGGGATGATCTTGGAGAGGTAGTTGCAGATGAGGCAAAAGCGGGTGTTTTCCGTGAACTTCTCGATCACTGCGAAGAGGAGGGAGGAGAGGCTGGGCCTCAGCTGCTGCCTCCTACGGGCTGGCGCCCCGTGCCAGGCTGGGCAAGGCTGAAGGGTCCCCAAGCGCCCCTCACCTCGCCTCAGGGCGTTCTGAGCATCCTGGGTCATGGCATCAGCTTCATCCAGGATGACGAGCTTGAAGCCTTTCCTTAAAAAGGTGAGAAAAAGGGGGAGGTGGCTTTGTTGCTGGAGAAGGGGGAGCGGGGGATGCTTATTCCCAGCCTGACCCCCACAAACGCTCCCAGGGAGCCCTCCTTTCCCCACCAGACTGGCATCCTTACCACCCTCATCCTCCCTGCTCACCCCTGGCTCTTTCCCATCCACTCCGGCTCGCTTCCCACCCCAGGAGCCCCCCCACCCCCCCCACCCCCAAACCCACTTCCTAAGCTGAGTGCCAGGGCAGGCTCTGTTGGCGGGGGGGTGACAAAGGGACGGGGAGTTTTGGGAAGCGCAGACCCACCACTTACTTAAAGATGGTCCTGGTGCTGGCGAAGCTCAGGATGGGCCCTCGGACGATGTCAATACCCCGGTCGTCGGAGGCGTTGAGCTGGAGGGAGGTGGTGTGGATCCACATCCCTGTCACAGGATGCCCCCGTGGGGGGGTGTGGGGACCCTACTATCACCCCCCCCCCCCCCCGCCCCCATCCTCACTTACCTCCAGCACCATGGAGCCAAACTCCCGCCCCCGGTAGAGCTGCTTGGCACAGGCGAGGATGGTCGAGGTCTTACCGGTACCGGGAGGGCCATAGAGGAGAAGATGTGGGAGCCGATCCTCGCTGATGAACCGCTGCACTGGAGAAGGGATAACGGGCTTGGGGGCTGCCCGGTCCCCCCCCGGGTGGTGCTGCAGGGCGGGGGTTACTCACCAGGGGGGGTTGGGGGGGGGTTATTTACCGGTGCTGAGGATATCCCTGTGAGACACCAGCTCCGAGAGCGTCTGCGGCCGGTACTTCTCCACCCTGCACCGGAGTGCGGTGGCAGGGGGGTGAGCCCGGGGCAGTGCCCGCTGCTTCCCCCCGCTTGTGGTTGCAGTTGCGTTCCCGGTCCCTGCCTGCTCCCGCACCTGGTTCCGTTTCAGTTCCCACTCCTGTTCCCATTCCCGGTCCTGCTCCCATTCCCGCTCCCGGTTCCATTCCCGCTCCCGGTTCCCGGTCCTGCTCCCATTCCCGCTCCCGGTTCCATTTCCACTCCTGTTCCCGTTCCCCGTCCTGCTCCCATTCCCGCTCCCGGTTACATTCCCGCTCCTGTTCCCGTTCCCGGTCCTGCTCCCCTTCCCGGTTCTGCTCCCGGTTTCATTCCCGCTCCCGGTTCCGTTCCCGGTTCCATTTCCACTCCTGTTCCTGTTCCCGGTCCTGCTCCCCTTCCCAGTTCCGTTCCCGGTTCCATTCCCGGTTCTGCTCCCGTTCCCGCTCCTGTTCCCATTCCCGGTCCCGGTTCCATTCCCGCTCCTGTTCCCGTTCCCGGCCCTGCTCCCCTTCCCGGTCCCGTTCCCGGTTCCGTTCCCGGTTCCGTTCCCGGTTCCGTTCCCGGTTCCGTTCCCGGTCCCTCCCGTACCACGGCAGGTTCCCGCCGCCCGCTCGCGCCATCTCCGCTGTCTCGCGAGAGGGGCGGGGCGAGGCGGGGCTTGGGCTGGGGGCGGGGGGGGCGGCGCTGGGAGGTGCTAAAGCGGGGGGGGGGGGGGCATGGTTTTGGGGAGAGGGAGGTGCTGGCTGTGCTTTTGGGGGGCGGGGCACCGGGAATCGCTGAAGCGAAGTTGTGGGCGTGGGGGGGGGGACACAGCACCGGAGCAAGGTCATGGGCGCGATGGGGAGGGGGGGTCAGGGTGCCGGCGTTCATCAAAGCGAGGTGGGGGGGAGCACGGCACCGGGGGCCAAGCCTTGGCCTGGTTTTGGCCCAGACCAGCCACTACCGATCGTCCCCAGCGCAGTTCAGGCGCCAGCGGAGGCCGGGGATTAGTCCCCGGGGAACGTCTCGTTTTGGGCCGGGGTCCGGCACGGGTGGTGATGCACCGGGATCTGCCCCTCTTGCCGCCGGCCTTGCCTCTGCTCCTGGTGGGTTATTTCAGGAGCGAGCGGAGCTCGCCGGGCTCGTGAGCTGCTTCTGGGGCAGCAAGAGGGGCGAGCGGCTCCGTGCCACCGTTGCCGGTGTCACGAGGATTGTCCCCAAGGTTTGCAGCCTGGCAGGGGCAGGTCAGAGGGAAGAGGAGACGTGTGAGTTACGGCCATGAACCAAAGCAAAGTGGCGGTGCCCCTTTCTGCAGGGGGGGTCCTCCTGGAAGTGTGGCAAGGCACCTCCCGGCTCAGCTGCCCAGGGGACACTTGGCAAAGTTGGTCTGAATAAAACCAAGTGCTTCCCTGCGTGGGGAGGTTTGACCCAGCCTCACCGTTCCTGCCTTGGGTATCGCTGGAGTTGCCTGAAACAAGACCTCTGTCAACTTACTGGCTTTTCCATTTGCAGCGCTGACACAGGCGCCTCCAGTTTGCCACCGCTCCCTCCCATATCACAACTGCTTTTATGGTTGGACTCGATCTTAAAGGTCTTTTCCAACCTAAATGATTCCATGATGAAAGGAAATTGCGGGCATGCTTTTGAGGAGATCACAGTGCGGATACTCGTGAAAGCAAGGTCATGTCTGTGCTTTTGGGAAAGCACAGCACCAGGAATTGCTAAAGCAAGGTTCTGGACATGCC